GTTGTGTATGGTTGTGGGTGTGGGGGGGAGGGGGTGGGGGGGGGGGGGGGGGGCGGGCCCCTCCCCTAGATCCGTCAATGTTGATATTATTTTACTGCTGTGAGGTGACATTTTGTACCTTGATATCATCATGACACGTACACCGTGATGGAACATTGTCTACCTTGATAATGATTTCTCTGCCGTGATGTACCAGACCCTTCGGCTGCTTGGCGGAGCATTTTTATACTGTTTTTGTTCGACCGTGATCAGAATTTGTCTTTATTGTCAGGAGGTGCTTAGGCTGTTCACATACCGGTACTTTGTATTTTTTGTTTTTTTTATTTCGAGATTGTCTTCCTCGCGTATGAAAATAAAAGTACTGACCGCGAGCGCAGGAGTGTGGGGTTAGCGAAAAGGGAAAGTAGGCTCGCTTGTTCTCGGGCTCCGCGCTCGCTATTGCTCGGTGTGCTGGTCGATTTTTGAAAAGACAAAAGACAAAAGTCTGTGTACAGACTACGAGGTTCCTTTTTCTAAAAATCCTTCTAAAAGTCCCCTTTTTAAAAAATGAGCGAGCGGAAAGAAAAATAAAACACAAAATTTATGGAAGAGAAATTGGAAATTTATTTTGGCATTTTACATTCTCAGAACCAGAAGAATCTACTCCAGAGGCCAGGGAGGCTACGATTAACCTTTCGCATGAGTGCTGTTCGTTTTGCCTGGAGTGCGTGAATCAGATAATTGTACCCAACTCTCCACTTTCCGACAAATTCTCAACTGATTCGAGGAAAACATGCCACTCGAAACTCTCGCTCATGTTTTTTCCAATCTTTTCAATTTGCAATGTTTAATTTTGGGGATCAGGGATTTAACATTACATCCCTGAGCCCCACTAAACACCGAAAATTTTGTAACGCAGGATTATTAATTGTCATATCCTGCACGCATATTTTGTGGTTGTTTTTTGCTGTTCACACCCTTACATGCAGGATCGTGATTTTGTCTTAATTATTAGGACAAGGTATAAACTAAGTTAGTTCCTCAGCTCTATCTTGTTATACTCCCTGATGAAATCTGCGTGATCAGACGAAACCGGTCGGAGAAATAACTCAAGTTAACAGAATACTCGAGTTGCTTTGTGCTGCTCAACAGCGTCCATTGGAAAAAAGAAACGAAAAATTAAAAAATAAAAATAAAAATAAAAAATTGAAAGGAAAGGCGTAAAATGCATTGCACATTTCCGGATAAATCATAGATACTCACGTTGCTCCACGGCAACTGGATAAAATGAAATGTCACAACACGATGTTCGATCACGGCAGTAATATAATATCAAGGTAGAAAATGTGCCATCACGGCCGGTAGTAAAATGATATCAAGGTAGAAAAAAGTCACATTACGGTTGGTAGTAAAATGATATTAAGGTCAGGGCTTCTGATAGGTCGCGGAGAAAAATGTCAAATTTCCCGGGATTTTTACGGACAAATTCGCTGAAAAATCGGCCAATTTCGCGGGAAATTTCAGGGAAAACTTCGCCAAAAAGCAATCGGTAAAAAACGGCCGATTTTGTGGTTATTTTCAAGGCAAATTTCGCTGGAAATCGATCGGTTTTGCGCTGATCAGACCATTGTTACTAGTAACAGAGGTTATCGTTTGCTCTTTCAACAACAATACGCTCAAGAAATGAACCAATGGCAAAGCCTTTAGCATCAGGGCTAGTGCCCAGTTTTTCGCAACATAATCGCGCCTGGTAGTTTCGGGACGTTGTTTGCACGTTTCAGTGACAAAGTTTCAAGAAAAATTTGCAAGTTTACAGCAAGTAAATAGCCCCAATAGCTGAAATAAGTTTCAAATATGTTGTACAGACATCTATTTGATAAGATTTTTACCAAATTTCGCGGTATTTTGCGTGTTTTTGTGAATTTCGTGGGATTTCGCAGATTTACCTGAATTTCGCGGCTCCGCCACTGCGCGAATATCGGAAGCCTTACAAGGAGGAAAATGTTACATCACGGCCGGTAGTAAAATGATATCAAGGAAGAAAATGCTCCATCACAGTTGCAAAATGATATCAAGGAAGAAAATGCTCCATCACAGTTGCAAAATGATATCAAGGTAGAAAATGCTCCATTACAGTTGCAAAATGATATCAAGGAAGAAAATGCTCCATCACAGTTGCAAAATGATATCAAGGAAGAAAATGCTCCATCACAGTTGCAAAATGATATAAAGGAAGAAAATGCTCCATCACGGTAGCAAAATGATATTAGGGTGAAAAATAACGATTATAAGTATATTCTATCACAGCTTATTTCATATGACATGTCAGACACCACGTTAAACATAACGTCAACAAATAATTTTGAAACAAACGGCGCGCCATAATATTGGCGTTCCAAAACAATGAAATGGCGGCCATGTTGGTGTTCTAAACAAATCCTGTTGGAGTTGAACAGGGGCACCCAACGAGGATATAGTTCAAAACCACTTAACATAGCATTGTTGAACGTATTTTAGTATTCAAACGGTAGATATAGGCATATTTTTATCCCCTAAAAACTTTTCATCTGTTCGGATTCCCTAGCTGAAAGTCTAGTGATCCGAAAATTATAGGGATAAAAACTTACCTTCTCGAAAATTTCAGCCAGGAAAGGCTCCCGAAAATTCTAGGTGGCCTTTTTTAGGGTCAAAATCCGTTAAAGATGGTTAATTATACCATTTTGCAGATGTTCGAAAATCCTAGGGGAGGCAGGCAAGGGAGAAATTTTACAACAAATGCTCCGAAAATTCTAGATCTCAAATCGTCTTCCGAACAGATATTTTCCCGAAAATTGCCGTTGGGTGCCCCTGGTTGAACTAGTTTCTTGTGTAAATGCTTTCTTTTGTTCCAATAAATTTGCATGGATGCTGACCACCTGAGTGAAACACTCTACTTGATTGAGGGTGGTGACAATAAATGATTATTGATAATTAAATACAATTAGTTTTTCTGTAGTTAGGGCAGTTCATCACTGAGTAAACCTGCCTAAGTTGTTATTTTGTACTGTCTTGATTCCTTTTGCAGCAGTGCTAAATTTCTTTTACTTTGGGTTTTATACTCGACTGAGATTTGTTCCACAAACAATTTGGGTTCCCAAGCTGCACA